GAAAAAAAAAAAAAAAAAAAAAAAAAATCGTTTTCTTTTGCAAGCCGTGAAAAATTCAGTCACTAGCTGTAAAATTCAGCTAGTACAAAGCTCTCGAGGGCCGCCCCATCTTCCCTCCTCTCTCCCTCACAGGGTCTCACCGCCCCTTCAGAATTACCACCACCACCACCACCACCCCACCACCGCCACCACCCACCACCGTCACTGTAAGATTTCTCCAACCTTTTCCCTTCTATTGCTTTAAAGTTCTTTTCTTTCTCCGCCCCCTCCACAGAGGAACCACCAAAATCCTCTCTCTTAATCATCTATTTCTCTCTCTACATACCCTTTTTCCTGTTCAGGCGTCACTGTGCTTCGTTTCTTCACAAGGGTATTGATTATTATCCCTGTTTTCACTCTGTGTTCATCTGATTCATCCATATTTTCGCTCATCAGGGTTTCTTTTTTTGTGTTTCTTCTTTTTCCCAATATGAATTTTGGGTCATCATCAGTTTTCTGTTTTCTTGCTGCGGTGAATCTGGAATCTGGATTCTTGATCTTGTTGTTTTGCTTCTGGGATTGGCTTGATTTTCATTTTCCTCTTCTGGGTTTTGATTCTTAGACAGTTCATGTGGAGATACTGAATTATCTTATGGATTTGATTGCGTTTTCGTTTCCCCAATTCCATATGATTTCTTGTTTGGTTTCAATGTTTGATCGTTTTCATTGGATGATGGATATTGAAAGAGTTTCTCACTTATGTTGTCCAAGAAGTTAATTTCATGTTTTACACCAAAAAGAAGATTGTAGTTAAGTCCTTGGTTAAAATTTTCGACCATGTGTATATGCTTCATGCATGTCCTCAATAAGTTCAATACAGTTCGCTTGCTTAATTCCTCTAGTCAGGGATAGCAATTAAGGTGTTGGGTACAATTTATCATGCCACTAAATGTCCAGCATTGCAAGCTTTTGGCTCATTTTGTTAGTTTTAAGGGATAAGGTGAGAGTTTCTTACTCCTTTTTCTTTGATTTTCAGAGTATGGGAAGCAATTTTATCGACGAAACTACCAGCTGTGGTGAGGCTGATGGGTCTGAAACCACTATTGAGATTAAGTTAAAAACTTTAGATTCTCAAACCTATACTCTCAGAGTGGATAAACAGGTTAATATCTTCACTTTATCTTAGATCATCAATTAACTCAAGATGATGTTTTGTTAGAAATCTGATTAGTTAACTGTGTACTTAAATTTTATTCAAGTTTTGTAGCTTCAATGAAGCGTTATTACTTCGAAATACTATTGCATTAATTTTTGTGAACTTGTATAGATGCCAGTCCCTGCTTTGAAAGAACAAATTGCTTCTGTAACTGGTGTGTTGTCAGAACAACAACGTCTTATATGTCGAGGAAAAGTTCTGAAGGATGATCAGCTCTTGTCTGCCTATCGTATCCTTGTATAATTTTACTATATTTCTTTATTTTTCACCGAACATTGATTGATTCCCTTGAAGTACTAAGCTCACAAGTATCATGAATCTCTGATAAACAAAGGAATTAAGTTCATCCTTTTTTCTTTTTTGGTGACGTTATATAGGATGCTTGGACGTTGCTTGTGTTGTATATGTGGTTTTGGATTAATCTTCTTGTGAGAGGAACAATAGAATTTTGTGGGTCTTTATGGTGAGAGGAACAATATAATTTTTCGAGCGCTCGAGAGATCATCGAGTGAGGTTTTGTCCCAAGTTAGATTATGTATTTTTATGGGTTTCTGTTACCTAGTTTTTTTTTCTTTTTTTGTTTTTTGTAATTATCCGTTAGGTCTTATTTCTCGTTATTGAGGCCCCTTTTGTAGCTTGCCTTCCTGGGTTTCCTTTTTTGCATGCCCATGTATTCTTTCATTTATTCTCAATGAAAACTCGGTCATTCATTAAAAAAAAAAAAAAAACTTGTAGTGTGGATTTTCATGCTTACTGCAAATCATTCAGTATTATGTATCTTGTGATCACATGATCTTTTAGTTGGAAATATATGCTCGTTATTCTTTAATGGGAGTTAGACGTTGAAGACGGTCACACCTTGCATTTGGTTGTCAGGCAGCCTCTTCCACCATCAGAGACTTTGTCCAATCGGCCAGGTTCAGTTTGTTTTCATGCATCAGTACTCTTATATAACTATTTCTCAAGGTTGCCTTCTAAGTCTTGAAAGTAAATTCTGCTACCTTCATTTATCTTCAAAAACCGAAGGCAACCTTGAGGCATATATCTAGGCATAACCGCATAATTCTTAAGTTGCAAGGGATGCCATGTATGAAATCTCAGGATTATCACTAATGCTAGAAAAAAATGAGTGTTAATATCAGGAAGTGATGTGGAAGGGAAGAAGAAAAGAACGGTAGGAATTAGCTTACTATGGAAAAGAAACACCTATGGCCTTGTCCTCGAATCAGCGTACAACATAATTTAAAGACCGAGGCAACTACCTTATGGACCAATGTAGTCTAAAGTCATTCTTTGAAATATTTTGTTTGGAAGAAATTAAAGAATTTTCAACTATGAATTTTGAGATCGGGGGAAATTGTAGCCCAAGCCTTCAGCTTCTACTTGGCATACTTTTTTGTATGCTCTTTGGGTTGTATCCCCTATATCTCTACTTTTCATAGATCGATACAAAGTTTTCTTCTTGATTTGTGGATAAGACCTGCAAACGTTCAATCAGAAAATGAGGGTAGTAGGGACGTCCTACTTCCTAATTTTTTAGTGTTGCTCTACCATGAACCGTTCGCAACAATTTTAATCATATTCAGGTATCATATTGCAGCCAGATAAATTCAGATGAAATAATGGAATTTCATATTTTGCTTCTCCGCTTATAGATCATGTCTACCATTGCTGCGTCAACTAAATTTTTATTACTGAAAATTGTTTGCAGAGACTGATCCAAATTCAAGTACGAGTCGTGTTCATAGCAATCGGGTGGCTCCTGGTGTGGTGATTGAAACTTTTAGTATGCCTGTTCAAGGGGATGGTGTACCCCCGGAAATCAACAGGGTCAGTCTAGGACTTGGAGG